AGAACCAGAATAGTCCAGTCCAGACAAGACTCTTCGATGAGGACTGTATCACATCTCCTACTGCTAACAGTTCGTTTAAAACTTTTAAAAATCTGTCTCAAGGTAGACGAAAAGGGAAACTGAACCAAAGCAAATTGATAAGTTCTCAGGAAAGGAAAAAGAAAATGGATGCTGATGAGGATTGGCTGAATGCTACAAAACCAGCAGCAAAGGATTCCCCTACCCTGAGACAGAGCACGCTGAGTCAGGTCTTTATGAACATGCCTTCAAAGCCACAGCCAGAAAAGACTGAAACGGATGATATCCAAAAAGCCATAGAACTGTCACTGAAAGATGTTTCACATAATCAGGGAAGAAAGAGTTCTGAAACTTCTGATGTGAAAATAATCGAGAAAGAAAATCTGTCGCCCTTTAAAAGACCTTTAACTCCAAGGAAATGTAAAAACAATACACTAAGACAGAATGGTCTAAAAGTCAAAAGGCGAAATAAAAGGAGTCCATCCATTGACTGTGATCCTGATGAAACAGTTGCACCAGGATCACTCAATACTGGACCTACAGAGGCGTCCCAAGGTCAGGTGTCCTTTCTGCCCCCTCTTAATGGCAGTGTTGATCCTGGGGTACAGCTGTCCTTGTTATGTGATGACTCCCAGAGTTTGAAATCTGATGACCTACCAGACATTGATGTGAATCCTGCAGGGGACAGTAGCCATATTGGAAACCTGACGGACTTTAGAATTGAAGACTTGAGGAAGTCCACCAATCCACTGACCTCCACCTGCATTGATGTGGATGATCCACAGGGAGGTGGAGAGGAGGAGTCCCAGTCCATTCCCTGTAGTATGAAGTTTGGGGGTGGCAGGAAAAGATATATCAGGATTCCCGAAAACTTCTCAGAAGGTAACTTTAAAATAAAACAAAAAAGATTTGTCATTTTTTTTAATACAAACAGTGCACCGTACAATTTGAGAACATGTAATATATTTTTTTTTCAAAATGTACAGAATTTTCAATTTCACAAGTATAAGTAAGGTAGTAATTCACATGCATTGATTATTGATGTGCACTGGATGTTACACATCTGGATAAAATGGAAATGCAATGTGCTTTTGTTTTTAGAACCAGGAAACAATTTTCAAAATATAGAAGAGGATGATTTTATTCCAGATCATGAAGACAGCTTTGATAGGTAAAAATTTCGTGCAGTGAAAGTTTTGCAATGGTATAGCAAATAAAACTACTAACATATTGATTAAATCATAAATGTATAACTCATACAGAAAATCCCTTATTAGTATCAAGGAATTTAAAATTTTGCAAGATAATGTTTCTGATCCAGTCTACTCCTCACAAACCCTTTAATACAACAGAGAGATTGTAGATAGCTTTACTTTTAACAGAGTGCCCAGTAAGGAGCAGCCAAACTTTGCCCATGTGGATGTTGTCAGGAAGCAGGACGAGAGAAGAAAACTACCAGCTCACAAATGTGATGAGTGTAGAGAGGTCAGTGGTTCTAGTCTATAAGCCGAATTCTAAATTAATATTTAGAGTATTGCCTCATGGGATTGATAATGATAAACCAGGGCATTCCCAGTGAAAGTAAACTTAACTTTTCACAAAATCTTTACATTAATTTTCATCAGTGAAAAATGAGGATTTTTTTTCTTCTCAGAAATTTTGTATCATAGTAACTCCATATTGTTTTTGTAGTACTATGAGGGGCTGGGACTTTCTGAAGAGGAGATACAGAAGAGAATGCAGACCTGCTCCAGACACCGAGCTAAACATGCCGCCCCTGGAACACCAGAACACTTCTGGGACATAGGCATGGAGGACACACTGGAATGTGAGGAGAGAGGTAACTACAGTAAAATAATCTTGTGTGTATCAATACATGTTTATCAGCTTCATGAAGGGGATGGTGGACAGGGAAGTGATACTGTAGATCACTAAATTTTCGCGACACCTTATTTTCTCGAGATAGTCATTGCCACTTTATGAGCGAGACAAAATTTTCACGAATTATGGTGATTGCTTTATATAATCCATAGAAATACTAATATACGCAAGAATCATATTTTCGCGAGCTCATTGTCTGTCTCGCGTAATTACGCGAAAATAAAGTTCTCGCGAATAAAAAGTGATTTACAGTAGATTCCTATGAAATGCCTTGTGATGTTGATGCTGTTATCCAACAGTTCCATTTACTCGGATGGCTACAAATGTACATGTATCTGAATCTAAAAGATACCAAAGCGTAAAAATTTGTTGCAAGGTCCACAGAGATTCTGTTTATAAACCTCAGCCCTTAGCCTGTTACAACTGATCTCTAACCCTTTACTTTGAAATAAAGGGAAAACACTGTACAGGTGGTTGCTATAATAGATTTGATTGTACTTGATTTTCAGTTTCAGAGTTTACCTGGATCATTTATAACTTTGATTGAGCTTTGTAACCTTTATAACATGAATTATTTTTTTTGAAAATAATTTATATTAGACAAGTGATATTTGATCTTTATTATATACCTAATGTGTATCTCTCAATTTTACTGTTGATTTTATGCAATCACGTGACGTCGTGATCCCACTTTCTGGATCACCACACTGTGGTTTTCTGAATCCATATCACCACTTTCTGAAACTGTTGAGGTAGTACGCAGAAATATGACGTTATTTTTCTTGCACGTTAAAAAGTCCTTTGTTTTAATGCTTTGTTTATTGGATTAATATGATACCATTGATCTCTAAAGGATTATTTTAATATATTTAGCCAGTTATAATGGGGTATATAATAAATTTATCAATATAACAGTACAGTGTCACGTGTAATTTGATCCGAAGAGCCGTATCACGTCTCATTGACAGGCGTGGATCAGCAGATTAAACTCTACGCTTCGCGTCTTGTTAGATCTGATGATCCGCGTCTGTCAACTCGATGTGATATGACCCTTCGGATCAAGTTACTGTTATAATAATATATATATATATATACATATATATATATATATATCTTTTTCATTACTTAGACTTTCAATTTGTAAAAGTGTTTTTTCTTATGATGTTTTTTTTTCATTTTACAAGGTTATGTTCAAACAAAAGACCCGGATAAAGAAAAGCCACGATTCAGGAGAAAAAGACAACTGAACAAAATGTTCTAAAGGAAGTTAATACAGAAATGAGGGGAAGAGTTAAAACAAGGATATAAAGCAGCTGATTGGAGCATAACTCGGGTTGAATTAGCTAGTATTTAACAATATGAAATGTATT